TATATGGATTACAGCCTCTATTTGTAAAGGCACAATTGACTTTTTATACAGAAATGTTTTGAAATACAAATTTTGTTTGCTTCTATTATTTCCTTTCAAATGTTGTTCTTCCTCATGCTTTAAGAATGTTTGCTCATATTCTTGGGGAGATCTCTGATAATGAATGCTAACAGATTTTCTCATTGAATAAACACAACACTGCCAATAACAGTTTTGTCAGTATGCACCATCTGGTGTGGGGAAAGCAGATAATTGTCGGTATGTGACTCTGGGGCATAATTTGACCCCACCTTTCTCTACTATCTACATTTCAAATCCTTATCTACTGCTGAGCAATGATAGATCTTTTCAGTCTTCTAGCAATGTTAATTCTGGCAAGTATAGAGATGTGCACTTTGCTGGATATATGAGTATGTACATTTCCTTTTTGAACGATGCATAACTAAAAGTTCAGTTACTTCCGCTTCCACTATCTCCTGCTGTGTAGTCTTCTTATTTCCTTTTTGCACATTAATTCATAAAAAGTACTGCTTAAAAAAGGTTGTGTCAAAAGTCCATACTACATTAAATTGCTTTTCAGTTCCCAAAATGTTAAGGATATCTGAAAGTTCATTTTACTGCCTCTAACACTTAGTTCTTTACAGTTTCGTTCAAAATATTCCCTTCATTGCTGTCTGCACAGTGATCCACAAAAAGGGCTGCTCACAAAAGGTTGTGGCATAAGTCAATACTACAGTCTCTTTCCATAAACTATTTTATTCAAGAACATAAACAATAAAAAATCCTCTTGAATTTGCAAAATACTAAGTACTTATATTTTATCTAGTGTAACATTGTTTTCTCTCATGATGCTATAAATACACATATCTATCTATCTATCTATCTATCTATATATATATATATATATATATATATATATATATATATATATATATATATATATATTACAGACTTAGAAATCAAGCCTCATAATTTTTATGTGATCATCAGACGCTATTTATATAAAGTAATTCTCTCTCCAGTATTGAATATTTTCAACTATCATCAATAAATTTAGAAAATTCAAAACAAATATATATATATATATATATATATATATATATATATATATATATATATATATATATTACAGAATTAGAAATCAAGCCTCACAATTTTTATGTGATCATCAGACACTATTCATATAAACTAATTCTCTCTCTCGAGTATTGAATATTTTTCAACTATGATTAATAAATTTAGCAAATTCAAAACATATATATATATATTACAGACTTAGAAATCAAGTCTGGCAGTTTTTATGTGATCATCAGACACTGTTTATATAAACTAATTCTCTCTCTTGAGTATTGAATATTTTTCAACTATGATTAATAAATTTAGCAAATTCAAAACGATATATATATATATATATATATATATATATATAAGAATGGATGGATTTTATATATTGATCTGGCATATTTTTATTACTTTAACTGTTATTTTTAGTGGATATCTATACTTAAGTTGACTCTCTGTTTCTTTTAAACAGTATTTTATTTGGTTTACCAGCCTGAACCTTCAAGAAAAGTTGTTAAAAAAATGTCATTAGATTTGAGATTCTTTTGATCACATGACTACAAAAAGTGTTGTAATAAAGCAAAGTTCTATTTTGCCTTTAAAGGACACTTTACTCGTTAAGATTTCTCAGAAAATCATAACTGCTCAGTTTCATATCCAAAACTTGAACAAAGAAATTTCGAAAGAATTAATAGATTTTATTCATTAATCTGATATCTCTTTTCATTTTAAATGTTATTTTCAGGAAAGTGTGCTTTAAAGACAAAATAGAGTCGAGCTTGAATACAATGAAAGTAATGAGGGTAGTTCGCTACAATGTGCGTGTCATGGATGGTTCTTAGCCATGAAGGTTAAAACTGGTGTAACTAAGGAACATAGTTCATCTGAACACTCTACATAAAAATAATGATAAACCAGTGAGAGGCTTTCAAGTTCATCTGTGAGGAAGGAGTTGTCAGGTGGAAAATAATTTGTTATCCACATGTCTCTGTAGATGCTTTTGGACTCTATCAAGACTGGAAAGTGAAAACTGGGCAGCTCTTGCCCATATATGGCAGCACTACTTTCTTTTTCAGCCTAATTTGGCTTTTGAAGGTAGAAGAGAGCGGGAGGAGTTAAGTATTTACTGGAGCAGTACAAGGAACTGACCATTTTTCCAGCATCTTTAGTGACGGATTGTATATACAAGTTCCACTTGAGGTCAGGATTGAGTTCAGGGAATTTTCAAACTGAACCCTTTATTTAATCTACTAGTAATTAGCATGTTGATAAAATAGAGAAAGGCAACAGTATTCATAGCAGATACAGACAAGTAATTACAGGAACTCTTACAGAAGGTAGTTAAGGGAAGTGAGAAGAACGCAACAGATTTGGCTGCATTATATGCAAACTAGCAATTGGAAACACCAAAATCTAGCAAGTACAAGAATTTAAATATCTAGAAAGTGTTTCAAAGAGGAAGAAAAATGTGATGCAAAATTACAAAACCGCATTGGAATAGTAAGAAATGCCTTCCAAATGTTAAGCTAAAAAAACATGAAAATTTCATTAGAAACAAAGAAAAGACTACTTAGTTGCTATATAATATCAGACTTCCTATATGGCAGTGAATGCTGAACAATCTCTTCACAGATGAAGAAGAGACTTGAAGCAACAGTAATGTTGTTCTACAGAAAGATAATGAGAATAACCTTGACTGAACACGTGAGCAACTATAAATTTCTTCTAGAAATTAGAAAGAGATAACTGAAATTTCTCGGTTACATAATGACGAAAGAAGACTTAGAGGATTTACACTCACAGGACATATTAAATGCAAGGGGTACTGGGAAAAACAGTGCATAACCTCCCTAAGTTTGTGCATATGGTTAGTAGATTAGGAGAGATAACAAAAAGACAAATGTTACTAAGAGCTACAAAGGACACAAAATTGTGGAGAGCCACATCTTGAAATGATGTAGCACATAAAAGAACATACTTGAACTACTGTCTTCATCATTGTCGTTATCACAATATTTCAACAGTTGTGCACTCAAGCCTTCTTCAGGTGCTTGTCAATCCATTTCAGTTTCAGGGAATTTAAAACAGGATTCTATGTTTTATCAAAATAGGTAGATTGTACTTGTTATACTGAGTAGTTCTAAATAAGCACAAGACAAAATATTCTAAGATATAGGCAGTGAAATGAGAACAATCTATGCCTGTAGATATAATAAAGGGTTCAGTTTGGAATTCCCAGAATGTTACAAGCACCAAAGACATTGATGCTATAGATATATGGTGCAATTAGGTAATTGTGACACAAGTATTGGAATTTTATAAGTGTAATTTAGATGTGGCACAAGGCCAACAGTATAGAGCAACCGGTAAGGATTGAACTCAGTATTCAGTTGTAATTGATCTAGCAAAACAAGCTTGGTAAACATTACACCACATTGAAGTACCTAGGATGATTTTAGTAAGCATAGCTTGCTTGTGGCACAAGGCAGGATGTATGAAGCACCCAGTTAGGATCAAAGTCACTACTTACTCAGAGCTGTTTTAATCAGACAATCTTGCTAATCACTGTATCACATTGAACCCAAGTATAAATTGGACATCTTTTTTTTTACCCGAATGTAAACTGGACCAGCAAGTGTAAACCAGAGTGATGACTATCATTTTTGATTCTTGTTCGGTGTCAACTTGTCTATATTTCTGATATGAGGTGTTGTAACTATTTACCCTATTTATTCAAAAGTGACTTGGCCTAAAGAGTTTTGAGTTCAATACCTGGCCAGAGGGAACAAAAACTTGGAGAGTTGAGTTATCAAGGGGAATTAAATGAAATTGAGATATCCAATGGCATGGCATGTGGAATTAGAACAATCTACTCACATGGACTAAATAAAGGGTTCAGTTTGGAATTCCAAGAAATATCACCTGAAGAAGGTTGGAGCATACAATGGCCAAAACTTTGTGAATATGGCAATAAAGATAAGGACAGCAGTCTAGAAAATGTAAGTAGTGTAAATACTGTGTCATTTTAATTCATTATGATTTTTGTTACTAACATTAAACAAGGGTCATTTTACATCTGAATTTCTGTGAGATGTTATAATTAGTGAGTTATTTACAAAATCTTTGTTATTATTACAATGTTTTGGCAGTTATGCTCTCTGGCCTTTATCAGGTATTTGTCAATCCAGGTAACCTTCAAGTCTAGGGATACCTCACTATGTTCATATTTAGTACTGCTCTCATGTTTCTACTGAGCCTAAGTATGCACTGCAATTGTATCATCAAATTCATGAGCTGAAGCTTTAATCGAATAGGCTGTTGTCCCGTGGGACAATCCTTAGTCTAGAACTTAGTCTTCAATCTGCCTGCTGCTGCAGTTACACTTCATTGCATTTACCAGGGTTTCTCTTTTCTTACTGCTATTGCTGACGCCTTGTTGTCATTTGTTTTTGTTTATAAATAGTTTCCATATTGTATTTATTTCTACACTAGGCCTACTGAAGAGGCCCTTATAGTCCTGCATGGTTTTTTTATTGATTGCTATCTTTTAATCAGTAATTGATTTTACTGAGCTTGAATGCAATGACTAAAGATCTAGTTTAAATGCTAATCAAAAGTAGCAAACCTTCATGAAATTGCAAGTCAGTAGGATACTTTTTTGGATGTGTGGCATCATACTTTTAATTATTTTAATTAATTATGATTGCATTTGTTTATTTGCTCTGGGAGCAGTATGGCACCTTTTAATGACAGACGTATTTGAAATGAAAATTGAATTTCAAATTCTCAAATCAGCAGCAGATTAATTTTTAAAAAATGATTAATTTTTTTTTAAATTTCACAGGAATACATACTGTATTTTAATTGGAAATGAAAAGGCAGTTTTTTTCAGTCGTATATCTTACTTTTACTGAATTCATTTTATTATCCACTATTTTATGATTCATTCAAGAACAGACGAATTTGTGAATATAAAAATAATTTCATTCTTTAACCATCTATTTTTAATTCTTTTCATTTTCTTTTTCTTTTTGTCTTCATTGCAAATTTCTTTTTCAACATCATTCTTTTGTTCTTGCTTTCTTTCTTTTTGTTTCACACTGCTTTATTTCTTTGCCTTCTGCTTTCATCTCAAATTTCTTTCTTCTGTTTTTTATTTTCTTATTCTTTTGCTTATTTTTTTCTCTCTGTCTTCCTCTAAAATTTCCTTCTATTTCAATATCTTTTTCTTTCTATTTTCTTTTTCTTTCATTCACTCTTTATTTGTTTGCCTTTTGTCTTTTTCTCAAATTTATTCCTTTTTTCACTACTTTTCTTCTTTTGTAATTTCTTTCATTTTCCTGTGTTTTGTTTTCTTTCTTTGCTTTCTCTCTTTCACTCAGCTTTTCTTCTTTATCACAGTTTGTTTTTTTTTTTTTACATTCTTTGTTTTTCCACATACTGTCTTCCTCTTAAATTTCTTTATTTTTCACCATCTTTCTTTCTACTTTCATTTCTTATATTTTCTTTTTTTTGTTTTCTGTCTTTCTTCCAAATTTCTTTTCTTTCTTTCTTTCACTTGATCATATACTCTTTTTTCTTTGACTTGTTTGTATATTCTGATTCATTCTTTCTTTCCTTCATATATTATCTTTTCTTTCTTTTCACCATTTTTTTCTTCTTTCTTTCTTTCATATACTATCTTTTACTCTTCATTACTTTTTCAGATGTCTATATAAACTCAGTCTTTCTTTCATTCACTCTTTCTTTCACTCTTTCACTCACTTGTCCATATACTCTCATTCTTTCTTTCTTGTACATATACACTGCCTTTCCTTTTTCACTTTTTCTTTCTCTCACTTGTCATACTCAGATTCATTCTTTATTTCTTACACTTCACTGTATACTCTCATTCTTTTTGCTTCCTCTCTTTCGTTTGCTTGGATTTTCTTTTTTCATTATTTATTTTGTCTTTCTTTCTTTCACATTATTTTTTTGTCTTGTTTTCATCCTTATTCTTAATTTCTTCTTCATCACATATCTTTTTCGAACATCATCAGAGGAATGGTGCACAATTTGAAACATAGTCTCCAAACAGCTCTTCCAAGGATTTTCTTCTCCTCTAATGGCTGCAAACCAAGATAGCTCAGTTCAGCTCTGCAATTTACCACATATCAGGAAGGGAAATGGATTCATGCCTTTTCCAAAGACGTTAGTGCTAACTGAACAAAAAGCATCCTGATTGAACTTTTGTACCATTAACCATCAAACTATCTACATGCACACACATGCAAGCATATATATATATATATATATATATATATATATATATATATATATATATATATATATATATGGTGAGAGGGAGATGAGGAATGCTTGCACATACAACTGCATATATGGATTGAAAGCAGCAACATGATTAATTGACTTTTCCTTTGTAATATGTGAAAAAGAGAAATGCTGATGTGACTTCCTAACGCAAAACCTTCCTACATGTAACAAATCGGAATGAAAATTTGTTTCTTTCTCATTTTGTTTAGCGTGTTGAATTCTAGGACAGTGTTGGAGAGGGTGTCTCTGCAGCTTCCCAGGTCCTTGTGCATGGATAACGTCAACCCTAACATATGCATAATGGAAAGAAAAAGAAATAAAGTGCAAAATGCAGATATAATTCATTTCTTCATTTTTCTTTAAATCTTTTTTTTTTTTTGTATTGTCTTTTGGACATGTCTTGAAACAGAATTCTTTGTAAGCACGTCTAACATTGTCAAGAAAATTATAAAGGTTTTTCAAAAAATGAAAAAGCAGAAGTTGGTAAATCAAAAGAGAAAAAAAGTATACCTACAAGTAAAAGAAATAGGTTATACAGACAGGCAATGAGTGATTGCTTGCTTTTTTATAGCTTATCAACACTTTGTGGGTTATGGAAAACTAAAACATATTTTGGATGGTAACAATAATTTGTATTTATTTTTTTGAGAGTGAATATTGAATTTTTCCATATACAATTCCTACTATTTAACCCACAGATTGGGGGAGGAGAAGAGATAGATTCATACCTTTCCCAAGGGTATTTGTGATTAAGTGTGGACCTGACTAGAATTTGAACACTGTTCTCTGATTTCTCATATACAGACAGGCAAAAGAAAGAATGAAAGAAAGATATTATACTGGTAGGCAAAAGAAAGAAGAAAAAAATAAAGGCAGACAAAAAGAAAGAAAGAGAATAGACAGACAAGCAAAAGAAAAAAGTAAAAAAAGAACAGAGATAAGCAGAATGAAAAACAGAATAATAATGAGAGTTGACAGACAATTGTAAGAAAGAGAGTAATGCTGACAGGCAAAAAAAATATAATGAATAAGAGTATACAGGTAGGCAAAAGAAAGAAAAAGAAACAGACAAAACCTCTCATGTGAATATCAAATTTTCCAAGCTCTCTTTCCTCATTAATTTTCTGACAAATTTCAATTATTTCTTCCTGATAAGTATAAGTGTCCTTTTTGCTTCCATTTTCTGTAAAACACTTATTGTTGCGTGCATGTTCAGTTCATGATGTTCCCAGCATCCCTCTATAGAACTACATTTCTATTGCTTCAAATCTCTTCTTTATCTGTGAAGAGATTGTACAGCATTTGCTACCATATAGAACTGATATTATCTAACAGTTCAGTACTCTTTTCTTTGTTTCTAATGAAATTATTGTGTTTCTTTTTCTTTGCCTAGCTTTTTGAAGGCATCTTTTGCTATTACAATGCACCTTTGGATTTCAGTGTCACACTTTCCATACTTGAATTTAATTATTTCAGTTTATTTTTTATGTTAGTTTTGTTTTTTATTTTCTGCATAATCTGTTCTCTGAAAAATGGAATTAAAAAAATGAAACTAAAATGAAAGAAATAAATTGAACTAATTAAGAAAAAAATTTAATTTAATCAAAAATCATCTCAGAACAACACCAAAAATGTTTCTTACTTGATCTGGGAGAATATGTGATTAAGATACTGATGTAATGGAATAACCAGTCATCCCCATGAATGATTACACTTCAAGTAGTAATCTCTATCTATAAAAGGCAGGATATGTGTGTGTGTGTGTGTGTGTGTGTGTGTGTAACAAATGCACAGCCGCAATTTTCGATGGATTGCACCAAAATTTACATGCACATGCTCCAAGTTAGTGGGAAGGCCAAGACCAACTGCATTTCCCAACTCCCATTGATAGTGAAAATAATCAGTTTTTCATGCTTCTACGGCAGTTTTCATATAGTTTGCAGCCATTTTGTACTGGCCAGAGTGAGAGCCTATAGCTGGCTGCTACAAATAGGCAGGAAGATTCTCTTGGCCAGTGTGAGAGCCAACAGCTGACTGGCACAAATGTTAACTAGCATGCTAGCATGCAAAAAAATCGATAGCTGCATTCGTTACAAGTGGGAAAAATTTAAATCTGCATGGCACTTTACTGCAATTGACTCATTTACTTGTTTAAACTCAACGTTGATTCTGATTCTGCAGAACTGGGTTGGGTGTGTAAAAGTATTTGTTGTTAACATTCTTTTTTCATTCGGTTTTTCCAGTTACGTGTTCTTTTTTTAAAGCTGATAGTTTTGTCTTCATTTTGTTTAGTTCTTTTTTTGTAACAGATTTAATGTTTAGTATAGAGCTTAGAAAAAATTCGCAATGTGAGATAGGCAAGAAATAAGGCATGTAGCAACATCAGCACATCAAAGGGCACTCCTTTAAAGGCAAGGAAGGGCAAAAATATTTTAAGTCAAGAGATAGCGATTGCTGTATGAGTCGTTAGATTTTTGAATCAAGCACGGGCAACGTCGGGCCATGCAGCTAGTTACCTATAAAGTCAACTGTCTACAAGAGACTTGAGGAAGAGTGAGAGCGAGAAAATGCAAGCATGTCCAACCTTTCAGTTAGTGGCACTCACTACTAGATTGACCAGTGTGTATAACTGTACCATATTTCATATTGTACTGGTTGTGTACAATAAACCTTTCTTCTATTATCCACCTGGTGTTAAGTATTTATTCTCTTAGCACGAACTATAACAGAAACATTTTTGGTAGTTTTGGGAGAAGATTTAGCAGATTTTGAAGATGTCATGAAAAGCACAATATCTCCAGAGTTCCTTGAGGTAATCCCAAGATATAACTGTATAAACTGAAATGTGGCAACATACCATTTAGTAAGACTTTATTCTCTTGCAAAAAGAAGGTTACAAATATATTAAATTTATAAGAAATGTAAATTTCTTATTAGCATAAACTTTATTTTTAATGGTTTTTAAGTTGACATCCCTGTCTTTTTTATTATTTTCTTAAACAGTGAAATTAATATCAACCAGCCTAGACTGAGAAGTCCTACTAAAGAGAAAGTGCCTCCCAACAGGAATCAAACATGTATTCTTATCAGGAAAGGCATTTCTATAGCCAAAATGTGCCATTACCATTTAAGTCACAGGAGTCCATCAAAATAAAGCAAGGTTCAGTTACCTACTTATAGAATGAACACATCTGCAAGCTTCATTTGGTAGCTAAAATATAAACACAGTGATATTTTAAATGGATTTTTAATGACATTATTTTTTTTTACTGTAAGAATTATTTATAGCAGGTACAGGTATTTGAGCTGCTATGCCATTTTTTTTTTTAATTTCTTAAACAATGAAATTAATATCAGCCAAGACTGAGAAGATCTACTAAAGAAAACTATATCTTACGACAAACCTGTATTTTCTTTTTGCATCAGAAAAACCATTCCTATAACTGATACCAATTAAGACACAGGAAAACATTATGTTAAGGTAACTGAGATTTAGGAGGCATGGTGGAGTAATGGATAGTGGCTCAGATTGAAGAATTGGAGAGCTGAGTTCAAATTCCAGTCAAATCCATAACATTCACTCACATGCTAAAACCCTTGAGGAAAGTATGAATCCTCTTCTTCTCCCCCCAGCTATGGGTAAATAGCAGGACAGACCGGTTTCTATAGCCTTGGAATGCAACTAGTCTACCGCAGAAAGAAATGGCAACCTACTGCGGGTAAAAAATCTGCCTTGTTAGTCATGTATTGAAAGATACATGATTGCCTAAGCATGTATCACACATGAAACATAACAAACTGAATTGAGACTTGTATCATTATGACAGTCTCCTGTGATCTGATTAGAAAGGTTTCTCTGATGGAAAAGAGAATACAGTTTCATTTCCTGTCAAGAGTTGGATTTGTTTTTTTGTTTTGTTTTTTAATAGTACTTCTCAATCTCCACCAGTTGTTATTAATTTCACTGTTTACAAAATTAAAAATACAGAATCAGGCACTAAAAATAATGTTTATACTAAGAAATAATGTTAGATTAAAAATTTAATTTAAAGAAATGTAAAATGTTTTAAGCAGTTGGGTACAAGAACAATAGAGAATTTGATTCATTTTATTATGTAATTTATGTATGGAATGGAAGATGTTCTAAATTTCATTTTTGTTTTTTGTTAATCAAAGAAACACGTCATGTCTGTTCATGTAATGCCACATTTGCAGCAAAACATGATAATGTGGAAAATAAAAAAAAATGGTAATGACCTGCCATTCACTAGAAAGCCAACCCGACAAACATAGAAAAGAGGAACAGAAAAAAAGTCTCATATGTTATCAATATCTACATATTTTGATATAAATCTAGCAGGAAAAAGATAGTCATTCCCTTTTCTAGAAATGCCCAGATAAGAGAAAATACTGTAGGAAACTAAGAAACATAAATCGATATAAATCTAGCACAAGAAATGTGGACATTTCCTTCTCTAGAATGATGTCCTGATAATAGAAAATACCATAGAATATCGATAAAACATAAAACAATATAAATCTAGCAGGAGAAAGATGAGTATTTCCTTCTCTTGAATGATGTCCAGTTAATAGAAAATACAATAGAATACCGAGAAACATAAAACAATATAAATCTAGCAGGAGAAAGATGACCATTTCCTTCTCTAGAATGATGTCCAGTTAATAGAAAATACCGTAATTAAACTGAGAAACATGAGTTTATTTAAATCTAGCAGGAGAAAGATG